ATCTCTGCATAATTACATATTTTCATATGTCCTTCTAAAATGAGAAAGGTCTGAATGTGAAAAACATTTTAAAAAATAAGTATGAATCGCTAGGAAAACGCTGATTCATAACCACATGACTTGTAAATTAAATTATTATATTTACATAAAATATACATATCAACAAATAGCAGGCTACTGAATATGATATAAACTTAAGTTAATAAAAGCATATTAAGTGCTAAAAGTAATAATTTTGTATTACTTTAAAATACTTTTGTTATTTATTTTTAATTATTTAAATTATTATACAATTATTTTGTGATGAATTAAATGCTTATTATATTACTATCATTATTATTTAAAGCACCAGAGCATTGAGAATAAGATTTCTCCTACACAACATCAACCTTTAAAACGGTTTTGCTTCAAAACAGGAAGTTGGATTTTTAAGACTGTAGAATTTAATGTATAACAGCTAAATAAAACATAATAAGTAAACCTACAGAGTTGATATAGAATGCTGACAGATGTGCTGCTGTGGAAAGCGCTCTTTGAATCAACTGAACTGAACTGAACTGCTCACCAAATCTCTCCAGCACTGGCTGAAGGTGCTGATGCCGAGACACGACCGTAGCGATCTCCGACAGAACCTCTCTCCTGTGATTATACGTCTGAAAACACACACATATACACTCGTCTTCAGCACACACTCACCTGCGAGTTTTTTTTTTGTTGTTGCTGTAACGTGACAATGATAATTGTCAAAACATAAAATCAAAACATAAAATTACATCAACCTTTGGACACTTTATCACATTTCAAATCACCTAAACTAGGTCTAAACGGCCTGCTTATCTGTTTCCTTGAAGTAATTAGGACAGAAGAAGGGATTCAGGAGTGAAGCTGCTCTACACTGATATGAAGAGTTTATGGGAATGAATAAGCAAACTATACTCACAGTCTTCTGGGTAAAGACGCATACGCAGAGGAGGAACTTCACTAAACACGGCCTTCATAACCTGAATCAAGCTGTGCAGGTCACACTGCGTCTGTAAAAAAACCCAAAACAAGCAAATCATTTCATGAGAATACATGCTTTGTATTGAGGCAGGTCAAACCCATTGTAGCATGCTGTAGACTCACATGTCTCCACTCGTCCAGGTAAGGCATCAGGATCTCTCCACTGCTGTCGACGTGTCTGCCGGTCACGATCAGCATCTCCCACGTGGGTTTCACATAGCAGATGGGCGCAGTGCGCGGATAACTTTCCTTCAGCCACAAACTCACTGGAATATTGTAGTGTTTCCCTGAAGCACAATGTGTAGAAGTGTTTTGTTCGGTGCATTCTTAGACATGTAATAATAATCTCTTTCTTGACCGTGAAACCAAAGTAAAATCCAGTTATCTTTATGGTGAAACTTACCTTCATAAAACACCTTAATTGTTCCAGTCAAACCAGCCAAGGTCCTCGCTGTGCCATCATTAAAGACTGGAGAAATTACAAGACAATTACAAACCGATTTCCTTAAAGAAATAAGTCAATTCTGTGCACTATGAACATATTTTTAAACATACACTTTTAAAAAGGGTCAGTGGTTCTTTGTAAAACATTAGGTTTGCACTGTAAACTTTTCTTCATATAAAATAACTGACAAATCGCTGTTAAATTATTTTCATATCATCAAGCCGTACTAAAATGTGATTTACATATATATTTTTCAGTAAGTAATTTATTAATTACATAAAATTCAAGTCAAGTCATACTCTTTATTGTCAATGTAAAAGTACAACAAAATGTTATATTACTTTAAAATACTTTTCATAATTGTTTAATTATTTAAAATGGTAAAATATTATTTTTATTATTTAAACAATTATAGAATTATATGTATTTACTTAAAGCTCCATAACATTCCATATTTGTGTTTAACATTTTAAAATGTGAGTGCATATGTTGTGATGCCTAATTGTAATATCCCAGTGTATATATATATATATATATATATATATATATATATATATATCTCTAAATATATATATAATTTACATAAAATATACATATCAACAAATAGCAGGCTACTGAATATGATATAAACTTAAGTTAATAAAAGCATATTAAGTGCTAAAAGTAATAATTTTGTATTACTTTAAAATACTTTTGTTATTTATTTTTAATTATTTAAATTATTATACAATTATTTTGTGATGAATTAAATGCTTATTATATTACTATCATTATTATTTAAAGCACCAGAGCATTGAGAATAAGATTTCTCCTACACAACATCAACCTTTAAAACGGTTTTGCTTCAAAACAGGAAGTTGGATTTTTAAGACTGTAGAATTTAATGTATAACAGCTAAATAAAACATAATAAGTAAACCTACAGAGTTGATATAGAATGCTGACAGATGTGCTGCTGTGGAAAGCGCTCTTTGAATCAACTGAACTGAACTGAACTGCTCACCAAATCTCTCCAGCACTGGCTGAAGGTGCTGATGCCGAGACACGACCGTAGCGATCTCCGACAGAACCTCTCTCCTGTGATTATACGTCTGAAAACACACACATATACACTCGTCTTCAGCACACACTCACCTGCGACTCTCATAATGACTTCGTATATGTAAAAAACAATTATGAAAGACAAACTGTAAGACATTTCCATAAGAACTTTTACCCTGGGTAAGATCCTCCTCAGATCACGGACTGGTGTAACTGTCATGACTTCAGATGAAACACAGGTCGAGCCAGAGCAGAGGAAGTGCGCTTTCGCTCCTGAAGACTCTGCGGTGTTTATCACAACCGGAAGTGTGTGAGAACTTCTTAAGTCCTCGCTTCAGCGCAATAAACCATGTTATTGTCAGAAAGAGCCAATAGCGAGATTTACTGTGATGAACTATGATCTACGAACTAAAGGTCATTCAGTACAAATAAACCGCACATAAACATTACTGTCTATCTAGGACAACAAAAGCGTGGAAGGAAGCATTTATTCAGGTCAGTGACTGTTGTACAGCCACACAAACACACTTACACTGATAAACAAACTGCTGTCTAAAACATAAAAACTCACGAAGAGCTGCCTTTATGGTCTACCTCAGTGAATCTCAACCTTTTGGCATACCGGACCCCAGTCCAATTCAGAACCATCCTCAAGGACCCCCAGAACAAAATTGACTCATTTATGTATCATTTGTGTCTTTGTGAGGACCAAATGCAGTCAAGTATAATTCAAGTTAGTTGACTTGTCCAGTATTTGGCCATATCATCAGCTATATTAGATTTTTCTTTCATGGGAACATGTCATGTCAAAATATACAACATTTATACAAAAATTCATACTTTATATGGACCCCCTTGCCTTACGTCAAGGACCACTAGGGGTCCACGGACCCCTGGTTGAGAAACACTGGTCTACCTAGTGTACAATGTACAGTTCTAGGTCTGGGGAACTAACAGTTTTTTTTTTTTTTTGCTGTTACTAGTGATTAATGGTGTAATTAATAAACACACACACACACAACCGGTCAAAAGTTTGGAATAATTACAGTTTTTAATGTTTTGAAAGAAGCATATTTTGCTCATCAAGGCTTCAATTACTTGTTTAAAAATGCAGTAAAATCAGTAATATTCTGAAATAGTATTACAAATGAAATGACGGTTTTATATTGTAATATGTTTCAAAACTTAATTTATTTCTGTGATGTAAAGCTGAATTTTCAGCATCATTACTCCAGTCTTCAGCGTCACATGATCCTTCAGAAATCATTCTATACTGATATGCTGCTCAAGAAACATTACTTATTATTAATATTTTTCAAATAAATGCTGTTCTGTTGAACTTTCAATTCATCAAATAATCCTGAAAAAATGTAGTTTTCAGCACTCATAATAATAAGAACCATTATTAATAACTGTACACCAATAATAATTGATAAACTGACCATCAAATCAGCATATTAGAATGATTTCTGAAGGATCATGTGACACTGAAGACTGGAGTAATGCCGCTGAAAATTCAGCTTTACATCACAGAAATAAATTAGATTTTAACAGATATTCACACAGAAGGCAGTTAATTTAATTTGTAATAATATTTCACAATATTACTGATTTTACTGCATTTTTGAACAAATAAATGCAGCCTTGGTGAGCAGAAGAGACTCAAAAAAAAAAAAACTTCTGACAATCGTAATTATTTCAATGCCCATATTATTAATTATTAAATAATACTTTTATCGCCCCGATCCCACTTATGTTTCTACAGTAGGGTCTAGGAAATATCTTTTAAATATTGTAAGATTTCCACAGACTTAAGTTCAAAACAAACACAAGCTTCTTCAAACAACTCAACCGTTTTTATTTTGGAAAATTCAGTCAGCCGGTTTAATTTTCTAAAGGTAACGTTCGTTCGTAACATACACATTTACCAGCACACAGAACTAATGCTCCCGTTTGATCTCCACAAAGCCCTACTCACAAACGCTATGTTAAATCAGTCTGCACGTTAAACAAACAACACTCCTGATTATTTCTACACAGTTACCGCTCTTTTCGACAGACATGTACATATATATATGCTCTCCATGAGGTGCGGCTGCGGCGGGACGGGGGTCGTGGGATGAGGTCACTAGTGTCCAGTCTTTTCCGTCGGAGCTGAGGAAGGTTTGTGTGTGACGTTGAGGTCATGTGACGTGCCGAGTCTGTTTCAGACCAGTGTTGAGACTTCAAGAACAATAATTTAGCAGAAATCCACAGAGGCGCCCAGCGTTAGCAGACTGGGGTTACAAATAAAGACGAGAAAGGAGTAAGTCATTAGTGGAGTTTATCAGGCAGACGTGGACATCCAGAGAGGTCACCCGGGGGTCAACGCGAGACCGCTTCCTGTGGAAAATGTTTGTTACGCAGGAGGCCTCGCTCGCTTTTCGTTACAAGTGGCTTTCAGATGAGACGCTAGGTCTTCCCTCTCTGGTGCAGTCTGCCGCACTTCTCCCGACACGCACCGTCAGCTGAGGACCAGAAAACAGGAAGTGCTTACTGCAGAGGTGAAGATGCCAGTGAGCAAACTGATTCATGTCCGAGTCATATTTCACTTCAAAACTAAAAGAAAAATAAGGTTTTGCATTTTTGTACCATTAACATTTGTGGCATTCCGCTGCCAATTCTCATTAACGTAATGGCAAAAAATATCATAATGTGTCTGACTGTTTTTTTTTTTATTAATAAATTAAAGTCAGTACAACAAACACAATTATAATGTACAAACTTTAACATTTAATAATAATATGCACATATTATTCAGTAATAAAAACTTGATTTTTGTTGGTAATTGTCAAAATTCTCTGTATAAGTATATTATTATTATTTATATTACAGTAATAAAAACTCGATTTTTGTTAATTGTTATAAAAGTCTCTATATAAATATTATTATTATTTATATAAATAAACAGTAAATATTATATATACATATATATATATATATATAATTAACATAATAATTCACAAAATTTTAAAATGAATGTTTTTTTTATTAAGTCTTACCAGAACAATGGATGCTGAAATATTATTTATTACTTTTTATATACAGTCATGTTATCAGCTAAAGACAAAAAAGAAGGAAAACCTGTTTTTTTTCCCAATGACTATACAATAATAATTATTATTATTATTATTGTTGTTACGAATAGTTAATTTTAAATAAGTAAACACATAAATACAATAATATCATTAATATTAAAAAAAATTACATATATATTTAAAAATGTATAGACTTTTTGAGTCTACGCTACCGTTAAAAAGTTTCCAGTCAGTAAAATGTTTTATTTTTAATAAAAGTATCAATTTCTTCAACAAGGAGGCATTCAGTTGATCAAAAATGACAGTAAAGACATTTATAATGTTACAAAAAATGTATATTTCAAATAAATGCTGCTCTTTTGAACTTTCTATTTGTCAAAATATAAGCAGAAATGTTTCTCCAGCAGCAAATCAGTAATGATGCTGAAAATGTTTAACATACATTCAAGTAGAAAACAGTTAAATTGTAATAATATTACACAATATTACAGTTTTTACTGTGTTTTTGATCAAATAAATGCAGCCTTGGTGAGCAGAAGAAAATGTATCTTGAATGGTGGTGTACATAAATCCTATCATATACATGAAAGATTTTTTCGTTAAAACAGGACATTTTAATTTTCTCTTCATCACCCTGTCTCTTCTCTGTATTTAGAGTTCAAACTAGCAGCATCTCTCTCTCTCTCTCTCTCTCTCTCTCTCTCTGGTTTTGGGTTAACTCCAACTCTCTGACACTGTCTGACAGTATGCAAATATATGCAAACGAGGATCCAGTCAAGCCAAGCAGCACCTGCGGACCTGACCAGTCGAGACCAGTAGTGACCTGTGAGAGTGTGTGTGTGTGTGTGTGTGTGACCGTGAGGAGAATTACAGCACTAAACACTGTAAATCCAAAGAATCTTCCAGAAATGTTAAACTTATAAAATCCCTGAGACTAACTCTAGACTCAGAAAGCCAAAGTATAGATCCATCATAAATGTTGTCCCTGAAAGCTACAAACTGTCAAATCTTCAAGAAGAAACAATCAGCACTTGTGCACAGTACTTCATTATACATAAGTCTTTATATTTACACAAAATGTCACAATTAAATGCATATCTTATCTCCTTCACACATACTAAAATATTGCTTTGCAATAATGTTTGTTATTTCTAGTTTGAGGCAGGGTTATTATAGTTAACTAGAACTATATAAAATAAATAAATAAATAAATAAATAAATATTTGCGTGATTTTACATAAAATAACTGTTAAACTAAATAAAATATAAAAAAACAAACATTTTATTTCAGCTAGTTGCCAAAGCAACATTTCTCATTATCATTCCACTAAAACTTAAATAATAATAATAATAATAATAAAAACTATATAGATTTCACTAAAAACTAAAATAATTTAACTAAAATTAAACTGAAAACAGAAAATACAAAAAATAAAAATAATTCAAAATATTAAAAAAGTATAATAGTACCTCAATGATACTGAAACATTATTATTATTCTGAATCATTTATTAGATTATATATATATATATATATATTTTTTACTTTTTGAGTCTACGCTACCGTTAAAAAGTTTCCAGTCAGTAAAATGTTTTATTTTTAATAAAAGTATCAATTTCTTCAACAAGGAGGCATTCAGTTGATCAAAAATGACAGTAAAGACATTTATAATGTTACAAAAAATGTATATTTCAAATAAATGCTGCTCTTTTGAACTTTCTATTTGTCAAAATATAAGCAGAAATGTTTCTCCAGCAGCAAATCAGTAATGATGCTGAAAATGTTTAACATACATTCAAGTAGAAAACAGTTAAATTGTAATAATATTACACAATATTACAGTTTTTACTGTGTTTTTGATCAAATAAATGCAGCCTTGGTGAGCAGAAGAAAATGTATCTTGAATGGTGGTGTACATAAATCCCATCATATACATGAAAGATTTTTTCATTAAAAAAAATGGTAATAGTGATGCTTGCTTTAACAAACAACATTAATAAATACATAAATATAATCTCTCCGAAGTGCTGGCCTTTCAAGTGGCATTTCTCAGCCATTCTGTGATTGCTAGTGATGATTTGCAGTTTATTTAGTGTGATCAGAGATCACCGACTCGTTTTCAGAGTCAAACCGATGTGTTGTGCAGTTTCACACAGTCATTCATGCCTTCTGTGTATGGTGTCCTAACATTATGTGTATTCTGGCACCTGG